CGGTCCCAAAGTGTTCGTCGTCGGTCCCCAAGTGTCCGTCGGTCCCAAAGTGTTCGTCGTCGGTCCCCAAGTGTCCGTCGGTCCCAAAGTGTTCGTCGCGGGTACCAAAGTGTTCGTCGTCGGCCCCCAAGTGTCCGTCGGTCCCGAAGTGTTCGTCGCCGGTGCCCAAGCGTCCGTCGGTCCCCATGTGTCCGTCGTCGGTCCCCAAGCCGCTGCCGACCCTTCGTGGGTGTCTTCGTCGTGGAATGCCGCGGTCGAGAGACATTCCTCCAAAGCCTGATCCCAAACCTCCTGGCCAAACGAACTTGCCGCTGCGACCTGGAACATAGTGGCCTGAGAGACTCCCACTTGGGAGCCGGCGCCTTGGCCGACTACGGCTGGTTGGCGCTCGAGGAGGAAGGGGAGGAGTGTTGTTGCAGTAAGGTTCGAGTATTCGTCGACGGACACAACCGGTAACTGTGACAAGGTCTCCTGCAGCGCGGCAGCTGGGTTGTCGCCGTGATAGGTGAACGGCGCTGGATACGGCCGGAGACACTGCAGTCCTGGTCCCATTTTTTTGGTGCCCACTAGAATGCCTGCTCTTCCCGGCAGGTACCCGAGTTTGTTGACGCAGAGGTCGATCAGGGGCTGGCTCGGCGCCTCCGCGTGTTGCAACAGGCAGCCTGTGATCCAGTGACAGCATTTGATTCGAAGATCTGAGCGTTGACCGAATTTTTCCAGCAACGAAGATTGGACTTGACGATCCACGACACCACAGGGGGCGCTGAAGTAGAGATTGAGTATTGCTCCCAGCTCCACGTAGGCCAGCGTACAACAGTCAAAGCTTTGGGGACTCAGAGTCCTTAGCCTCTTCCACGACTCTCTCGGGATCGATCGATGCAGCGCGTCATGGGCCTCAAAGGCGGTCTCGAAGGGCCCCTTCTCAATCAAGGCCTTCACCAACGTCGGCCTGAACAGGGGCCCTCCTGGCGAGGACGGCACCTCTTTGTCTCTAATCAAAGTCCAAGACTCATTGAATCCCGGGCGACCGGGCGCCGCCCGCAATAAGGACACGTTAGTTGTCCACTTGCTCCAGCGGCTCTGTCGTCGGGCCGGGATTTTTCCGGCCAGGATGTCGTACCCGTCTGCGTCCAAGGGCACCCAAAAACGGCTGATCCAGTATGCCTCATAGTCCACCGAGTCTTTGCCACACATACTCCGCCAGTCCCAGGACTCGTCTACCGCACACGCCTCTCGCGCCCATGGCTCCGTCGCTGGCACGCTTAACCGATCGGTCTGTCCATCCAACGAGTACAACATTCCAAGCACAGAACAACGCCACCACAACTGCGACTCACGAAGATTGCCACGCATCCGGCCTTTTTTTTTCCATCGGCGAGATGCCACCGGGGGGACGGCTGGTGCATACGGAATAATCTGTCGTAACACTGACTGGTCCAAACTCGATTTTGTTTCCACATCATCTCGACGGATAACTCCAGTCGGTCAGCCACGGGAGCGTCCCAAGACGACACCTCGTATTCCTGAAAGGACGTCTCGGGTAACTGTGACAACGTCTGCTGCATCACGGCGACGGGGTTGGGGCCCTTTTGGCGGATCGGGTCTGTAGGATATTTGAGACACTGAAGTCGTGGGGGCCAGCGAGACTTTTTGTCTCAATTCCCTCTAGAGCAAGGTCCAAGACTCAGGACTAAATCCCGGCCGATCGGGTTCCTGACAAGAACCCCTGACTAAATCCCGGCCGATCGGGTTCCTGACAAGAACCCCTTCCTCGTTCAAACGCTCCCAGAACCGACTGATCCAGTACGCATCATAGTCCAGAGAGTTCTTCCCTACCAAACTCTCCCAGTCCCAACACGTGTCCTGCGCCGATAACTCTTGTGCCAATAGCTTTTGCGCCAGTGATGCCCCTAGGCAACCCGTCGCTGACGACCCGCTCGATGCGTTCGATATTCCAATCACCGAACAGCAACACGACCACAACTGCGGCCTAGGTAATGTATTATGTGCGGAAGACGCCCAAAATTTTATTCTTAGCCATGCCCCGTGTTGATATCTCCTTGCCGTAGCCCGCCTCTGGTAGTGCGTTCCGCCCCTGAGGGTGTGCCCCGCCCCGTGGTGCCCCGTCGCGGGTGCTGGACCTCCGACTGAACTTGTCATCGGGGAGTCTGTCACTGGGGAGTCTGTCACTGGGGAGTCTGTCACTGGGGAGTCTGTCACTGGGGAGCCTGCCACCTACCTACACTGCCTTTACCGAAAGGGTACACACCGAACAACTTACCATGACAGAACGCTGAACCACTACTGAGAACTTTTGATGAATGGATAACTCCACTACTACGCCAACAGAAACTGACCTAACTAACTACGCCGCCTCACTTCACGCTAACGACCAGGGTTGTCAAAGACCGTGTTACCCACGACTTGAGTTAGACCACTCTTACCGCACATAGACGACCACGGACGCTTCCCGAATATACAGTCCTGCTGACCCATTATCACATGGGGCGTGCAGCAACCGCCAAGATCGACTTAACCAAAGCCTTTCATGCGATACCACTACCACAAGACCAAGTGGGCACATACGCATTCAAACACCGCAACAACTACTGTGCCTATACTTGCATGCCAATGGGGCGCAACAAACGACCGATCATACCATGGTAACGATCAGCTACCATTCGCGGAGTTCACTCGATTCTACCAAAGACGATATATTTATCGCCACCGACAACTCATACGACCTAACCAAACGATTTACCTAACGACTACTAACCTCATATGGCTAACCTGAGAAGGTTCAACTAACTTGCAAATCCTTATTGGCACACGAACTGCATAACCACAACCTGAGCATTCCACAACCAAAGTGGAACCATTGTTTGGGCAAGGAGTCCTTGAGCCAGGAGTTCTTCGGCAACAGGGGGGCGTAGCCAAGCGTTTTGACGCAAAATTCTACCAGCTGTGAGGTGGGCGCCCCAGCAGGTTGCAGTTGACAGCCAGTGGAGCTTGAGTAACAGAAGGCGCATGGTGGCCCATCCCGAGACTCTTTGTCTGGTTCGTAGTGCCGTACCGAGCTTTAAAGTACTAGTCGATTATTGCGCCTGATTCGACGTAGGCCAGTGTACAACTTTCAATGTCACACTCTTCAACCGCTGCCAAGCTGTTCCCGTCCATCCACCGCTCAAGGTCAAACTCAGGCTTCCCGTTCGCCGCTGAAAATTAACCACCTGCGGGGCTCGAACCCGCGACTGCAAGATTAAGAGTCTTGCGCTCTACCGACTGAGCTAAGGTGGCGAAAATTTTTGAGACGATGGTTCCCAGGCCGTCACTCAATTTCGATACAGTGAGCCCGGGTACTATCTGCCCAAACAGGAAGGAAAACCTCCTTAGAGTGAATCCTACTCTCGTAACAACCCTCAGCAAAACGAACCTCGTCCTGACAAATACCATGTTTGTGCCGGTACAGGCGGTGTGATTTTGTAAACATTGGAAGCTGATACACGAAGCTGATACTTGTGCGTGTCAGAACGGTTCATCCTGAGTGATTGGCAAGTGAGTGATTGCTTGACTTTTGGAAACGTATCGATACCCGCACGGGCTGCGGACTGACCCTGAGGTTTTACTAGCTCTAGACCATTTTGTGGATAATGACAAGCTTGTGAGGTGAAGGTCGAGATCGTGTAAGTTCAATTGCGAGGACGGCCCAAGATCGGGGGTTTGGTTGAGCTTCCCTGCCCGTAGATTACAGTTGGGGAAATTTTGGTCCCTTGTCTCATTGACGTCCCGGATAATTTGGAACGAATTTTGCCGCGTATTTTATGGAGGGCCTGCTGCCGGACAAGCGGTCGTTGTTTGACGCCAACCCTCGTTGTTCGATGGTGATCTGAAACGACAAAATGTGCGCGTCAGTTTTACTCCCGATTGCTATAGGAAGCCCGCCCTCGTGGTCCCTTCATAGAACAACTTCACCTGGCCTCGTGCTTGCTTTCGGGCGTCCTAGAGCTGCCGGCCGGATGCTGGTAGCTGTAAGGGCGACCGCTGCGGCCGTGCCCGCGCTTGGGGAAAGACCCGACATGCCCCGACATGCCCCGCCTATTAACATCCCAAAGAAAGGTGAACCGGCCAAACCGAAACAACCTGAAGCAAGGTAAACCGCCGCAGGATAAATTCGCCACTCGTATAAGCCAAGATCACGGCACCGACCATACCCAAGTTCGCACTGCCAGACCTTGAGCTGAGGGCGAAGGAATAGCCAACGAGGTACCACGTGACATCATCAATTCAGGTCGGTCAATGAATAACTAACTCAGCCAATGTGACATTTCATGGTAGCAACTAAAAATCACTGTTAACCAACCGGAAAGAACCTTGCCAACAGTGTGAGGTTGTGCGGCAATTTTTATCAATGCCGTGGGCACGTCATTGATAAAGACGACCTCACAGCCACGCACTCTTGGCAATTGCCGTGGTCGAACAGGAAGCCTGGGCACCAGCGGGACCAGCCACAATGGTCGTCCACCATGTTTGTGGCACCTGGTCGTCCACCATGTTTGTGGCACCTGGTCGTCCACCACTTTTGTGGCACCTGGTCGTCCACCACTTTTGTGGCACCTGGTCGTCCACCACTTTTGTGGCACATGGTCGTCCACCACTTTTGTGGCACATGGTCGTCCACCATGTTTGTGGCTCTCGTGGGGGCCCGTAACAGCAGAACCCCCAAAAAAACTTTTTACCTTTTTGACGTTGTGTTCTGTCGCGGGTGGGCCCTGCCGTTAGCTTTTTATGGGTTAAAGGACTCTTTAGCCGCGTGTAGTCATCCGTGAGACGAAAACGGGCAGATAGACGTAACGCTACCGGTCCGGCTGGGTTTTTGGGAGAAGACGTATACATCACCTAACATTCCACCGTTACGTATAATGAGTGTCCGAGGGAACGGGGGAGAGTTTGACAGCGAGAAGAGGCAAGTGACGGTAGGTCAGCGGGTTGACGAGGTTGAGTCTGCGCTGGCATGCCCGGTCCCGAACCACGAGCTATTCAGCTCAATCCGTCGTGTGCATGTTGTGTCTAAGGGCCGTTAAACAACAGCAAACGATGGTCGAGTCTATCACCCGCGAGCATGACGGCTGCCTGAGTTCCGGGCCCGTCAGGTTCAGATACGGAGGACCTGCGCGGTTCTGCTAGCGACAGAACAGAGTGGCGGTATCGGCAGGGAACCAGTGGAGGTAACTCAAATTGGGTCGATTGAGGCGGTAGCTCAGTACAAGGGCGACGATGACGAAGCTGAATATCGTTGCGGAGAAGCACGGTTTCGGTTTTACAAGCCGAAAGATGATGCCAAGCAAGCTGGGTCGCATGAGTATGAGTTAACCCGTCGAAGCTGTATGTCTAGGGTAGAAGGTCTGACGTTTGATCCGAAGTCGGAGAGAGAGCTGGACAAGATTATCGATGACGTCGCTTTGAGAATAGATGCAGAACGACCAAG